AAGGGTGAGGGGAAGCTTAAATACAGGGGAAGAAAACACAAGGAGTCTAATAACCAAATGAACTTAGATAACCTAATGAACAAAATAAACTCAAACTTAAAACGCTGGGTCAAAAGACCCAGGACCATGACAGATTCACTGCAGAAGAAGAAGCAACCAGTCTCTTCTTGTCTAGCCAGGAAGAACTGGAGCAGTAGACGACTAACTCCAAGACAAAATGTCATTAATGCAACTTATATCAATTCAACCAGTGTGTTCAAGCAGTTTAACCAAATTAACTAAATCAAAGTAACTGTCTAATATGCATCTATCCAGCAAACATGGTTGAAATACTGGCACCATCTCCTTGGTCCAAACTGGTTTTTGCCCAGTAACAAACACTGAACCACAGAGAGATGGACATAGATCTTCCCACATGGAATAGAGGTCTAGTCAGGCTGTCTCTTATAAAGTAAATACAAGAGGATGCCCACACATCCATCCATTTTCATTTACAAAGTTACTTAATGTTTTTTTTCCCACTCACAGATAAGACTATCTAGATTGTCCTCCTCAGTAAGTCCAGTATTTTCACTTATTTCAATTTGTCATGGTCCGCGGCCCGGCGTCCGAGGTGCTGATGGGATGCCCACGCCCACGGGCGTGGCTGCTAACTCCACACCTGCATCCCATCCCAGGCGATCACCAGGTGGACTATTTAATCCTGCCCAGCCTGCTGCTCCACGCCAGTCCGTAGTCGTCTCTCAGCGGTAACGTACACCTGCGGGAAAGCCCTTATGAAAACTTATTCGTCTGAACTAGCACTAACTCTGCCCTGTGTACTCAGATCACAACTCGGCGTGTTTTGAGCCACCTGCCTGTCCACCTGCCCATCCAGAATTTGGATCACGATCAGCACTCGCCGCCTCGACTTTTCTGGAGCTCCCCCGCGGACCCTCACCCCTCCCTCCGGCTCCCTCGGCCCCGCTATCATCGTAAGACGCATACTCTACCTCCCCTCGTATGCTGCCATTTCCCCGCACCCCAATAATCCTTTTCCTTTTTCTGTTGCAGCCTCCCACAGTCCCGCTCTCGGCGTTCCTGCGCGACTCACCTCCCGGTCCTTCGGTTTCTCTGGTTCCACGCGTTTTTCCCTTCTACCCTCCCGGGACACCTTCAGTTATAATAAAGTTTATTTTTTCTCATACCCCGGTGTGTGTGTGCTCTGCTTCTGGGTCCAGCTTGTGCGCGGAACTTCGGTTCATGACGCAATTAATATGGACATTTTTGAAAATATTTTCAGTTATTTTATTTCAAAATATGTGAAAGTTTAAATTTTTACCTTTTTTGCAGTTGGACCTCTTTTACAAGATTGTACTTTGACTGTATTTGACTTTGTGCTTCCTTTAGTGCACGGTATTTTAGTATCACCCAGAGATTTCAGTCACCATGGAGATTTTCTTTAGAAAACTTGGTGTGCCAGACAAGAAATAAACTGCACGAGAACACAACAGAAACCTCTAGAACGCAACATCACACCCAACCTGAGTCTTCAAATTCTATTCACCCAAATTCTAAAACAATTCTGAAGATGCCAGGACAAGTTTTGTGCTGTGCACATCTTAAATTGTGTTAAATTAACTCAGGCCTCAGTCGCTGTTTGCGTCCCCATCTGGCTGTTTGATTCTTTGCTTTGTTTCTGTTGATTATCATTTTTATGCTTCCTCTTTATGTTCCTCGTGAGACGGGAAACCCCAGTCTGAATGATAATAAAAAATGCTGAAAAACAAAGAAAAAAGGAGCAGGGAGGGAGGGAGGTAAGGTGGAAAGACACTATGCAAGGCTGAGTCAGTCCCTGTCCTTGAGCCAGCTGGGGTTTAGTCTGCCTGGCTTATTGGTTTTGTTTTAATAGAGGCTTGACTGGCATATTAGAATTTGATGGACAGATCATTTGTGCTATCAGCTGATTCTGTCCACAGGGCCATTCGGGCTGGGTGGGCCTTATCTCAACAACTGGGAAATAGACTGCAGTCGATACGCCTTACAGGAATAGCAATTCTTTCTGTCTGACTGACATTTAGATATGTCGCACGCAGTGGCACTGTATCTGTGTGTTGGTTGTTTACAGACTTGTAAATGAACATTGATTTGTTAAACTGTCTACTCCAGCAAAGAGTTTCCTGCTCGCACAATAAGAGAACCGTCAGACATCCTGGTGAAGGAGAGCCGGAGAGCATTGTGGCTTGAAAATTAAAAGTCTGTGCTTCCCCTGACCTTATCTGTGACTGACCATTTTCTAAATCGCATCCACTCCTTTTCTAAAAGAGTTTGAACACTAGGGAAATGAGAAAATGCACAAAAGAAAAGAATCAGCTGCTTGCACATTGCAGGTTTCTGTTTTTCCACACCAAAAATAATGCAATACTTCCAGCACACCTGCTCATCATCAAACAGTAACACAAGCGTAAATCAGATGCTGCTCATTACATCGTCTGCTGACATGGAGGAACATGATGAAAGTGTATCTGTTTTTCCAAAGCTGTCATAGAACAACCAAAATTTCATTTTTAATAATGTATAAAGTGCTACAGTGCAGTTTTGAGCCAACTCTCATGTATTTTTTATTTTGCTGGGAAAATAGGTGGAGCCATTATATGAAACATGGAGATATAAATGGAAAATATATTAGGCGAAAACAGAGTTTGTACAGTTCTAGCAACCTTGAAAGTCAATTTGTTATGAGCAACTTTAATCTTCAACAGAGTTTGAACTCTCTTTGATGCTCTGGCGTTGTTGATGCTCTTGGGAGGCCAATCCAGGACTATGCTTTTGCAGCTTTTGCAATTAGTATTATGATCTGAGTGCAGTGTTTTTGACAGTTCTTCTCTTTGGAAATCACCTTGTTGGGGCAATAAAACTCCTTTATGTCTGTCAAACTGTGTTATCTTGGGTATCTGTGGGAATGACACAAGGACTGGAATGAAAATAGATGTAAAAGCAGCCTTCAGAGTTTCCAGAGAACTCCAGAGAAATATTGCTCAATACCACTTTAGGAAAAATGCATCAAAGTCTGACTCCTTGGAAGTAAAATATGAATAAATAAGGGGTGGCTTAAGATTTATAATACTTTATTTATCATATTTCACGAATAACAAGATAATCTGAAATTAGGAAAAATCTGACGAAACATAAGGTTTTGACCTTTTGTTTTTCTTTTTAATATTGTTTTCATTGCAACAGTTGCAGTGAATAAATTCATGTGTGATGTACTCTGATACTTTTTTAGTAATCCTTCTTGTCAGTTTTCATAAGTGGCTCCCTGCGAAGCAAGCTGCCTAAGTGGATACCATTACCTGTTTTACATAAGACCAGTCTATCCCATTTCAATTAGCTTAGATGTTGTAATTACATACTGATAACATGGCTGCATATTAGATAAAATCCTCTCCTAAAGCACCACTGATGGAGAAAATACCTCAAGACATTAAAGATGACTTACCATCCTAACAGTGGATTATGAGACGATAACATGCACCACCTTTCCAAATCTCTCTGCCTTCTGTTTACTCTCATATCTATGGATATCAGGGTTTTATTTTATTTTTTATTTTTATTCACAGTCATCGCCTTCTGCCCTTCTGCCTCAACCCCATTATTTGGGAAACCTCCATCACTACAGGGGTATATGGACATTACACAGCATGAGAGGAACTCTCTTCTCATCTCAGCCCACAACCTCCCCATGCAGCGGACACCATATGCCCTCAGCACACACCCACACACATAGACACACACCCACACACAAAACGCAGGCTACACCCTGGGGTTTGGTGCTTAGGTGTAATTTTCTCAGCATCAAGATAAGCTTTCTGTCTTGCCGTTGCCATGACAACGCGCCGTGGTGATCATGCAGCCTGGTGAAGAGTAATGAGGTGTCACGATACTGCTGTGGGTTACCAGTGACCCCTGACCTTTAGGGCCAGTGAGAACACAGGGACTATGGGAAACAAGGGTACGCAGTAATAATCCCTGTGAACCTAATCTCACGCTTGGCTGTTTAAACCCCTCTAACTGTATTTGGGAACAGCACAGGAGCCAGCAGGGTGCCAGACAGATGGGCATGAACTGCACGGGGAGGGATCTGATGTGCGAAAGGTTGCCACTCACCTCTGGGTTCTGACATTTCTTCCTGTATGATGGATTCTTCACCCGATCTGCAGAGATGACAGCTGCAGTAGTGGGGTATTATTTTTAAGGCTTATTTCAATTTTGCAGAAGTACCAGTCACCAGGTTAGTTACTGTGTGTATTTTGGAGCACGTTGCCACTTTAGTGTTTGTGAACCTGCAATTAAAAGTGACCTTTAACCTAGCCTTTGAAGAAACTGAGAGCCACAGACTTTAGAATGAACACTGGCTGCTGGACAATTTGCCTAATATTTTTTTTTTTATCAATACACACTACCTTAGTCCATACGGTTAATCCAGACAGCTTGAAGCTCAAGGTCCACTCAGTTTCTGCAGACATACCAAACAGCCAGTCGAGACAAGAGAAGTGTGTCACAGGAGCAGCTCTGGCCAGTCTGCCACGCCCGGAGAGGACTGCTGCACACACTGGACATACAGTGCACAAGTGTTAAAACAGAACAACCATTTGTGAGTCACACAGCTCTTTCCATGTCTGACTGTTACCCTGACCCAGATACAGTAGCTGAAGGAGCGAGAGGGGGTAGGGAGCTTCTATAACACAAAAAGAACATGAATAATAAAAGGCTGATGGCACAAAATTTGGTTTCAAACTCATAATGATATGTCTACTTATTAAAAATGGCTAATTACTAGCATGTAAAAGAAATAAATAGGTCATGATCTTTTTAGGCAAGTCTATAATCTTTAGGCTACTTCTCAGTATATTTTATGCATCCATCTTCTGCTCATTCATGGGCTCGAGCCTGTCCCAGCTGTCATAGGGTTGGAGGCAGAGTGTATCCTGGACAAATCGCCAAGTTATCACAGGGCCAACACAGAGACAAACAACCGTTCGCAATCTCATTCACACCTACAGCCAGTTTAGAGTTACCACCAAACCTGCAGTAATATCTATGTCTTTGGACTGTGAGAAAAAACAGAGGAACTGGAGAAAACACAGAAAGGTCCTGATCAGCTTGTAGATTCAAACCTCAAATCTTCTTGCTGTGAGGCACTGGTGCTAACCATTACACCACCGTGCCACTCCGAATTTATTTTTACCACACCTCATCTACTTTCTTGTGGTCCAAAAAGGTGAATTTTCAAATTAAAGATAAAAACTTAACAGTAAGCTTAATTTTTACTTCTGGATTGAATCTGCATAGCCTATGTAAGTGGTTGACATGACTACCAGACTGTAACTGTGCATGGTATTTCTCTGCTAACTAAAACATTAGTTAGCACTGGAGATTCTCTTTTCAAGTCCATCCATTCTCTTCCATTTGATTTGATGAAGGGTGGCAGAAAAGGAGCCTAAAATACACAGAAGGAAACTGAACGGGCTAATGGCTGTCATTGCAGGCTGTGGTGACATGGCTGGCGTGAGTTACGATGAAGGGTTTCAGAAGGATTTGTAGTTATGATGTATTTAAAGCATGGATTTAACTTAAAGCATAAATAATAAAATATTGGAACTTCATTCACTAAACCTAAAGCATAAACTTTATAAAATAAAAAATAAATCCAGTAAAAGGAACTCTTACTGCTTCAGCATACCAAAATTATTTTGGACAGCTTTATGCTTCCAACTTTGTGGGAACAGTTTGTGGATGCCCAGGACCCAGGGGTGAACACAGACAAGGAGACTGAATTAACTCTAACAAAAGGCGAGAAAACAAACTAGACTGTGACACTGTGACACTATGACAACTATGAACTGAACTATAAGTTCCATGACAAGAGCTAGATACACAGACGACGCAACGCTGAACAGACCTAAAACACATGACAGACTAGACAAAGAACGAAACACAGAAACCAAGGAGACAGATGATAAATAATCGTTAACCTAAACCTCCACTAAACCCTACATAAGAATAACACAAACTTATAGTCACCAAACTAACATGAGAACTTCAAAATTACAAAATAAGACTCAGCATGCTGGGTCAGAGACCCAGCCTGTGACAGTCCTGACCTCGA